GTCCTAGTAGTTTAGATGTTTTACTGAGTGGATTCTAGCAGTAAAGGCTATCATTGTGCAGGAGTACTCCACTCTAGAGAGCACTAGCATCTTGAAAAGTATAATCATCGGTATAGCATCTCTAGTGTGAAAGGTTCTTGTTATCCAACCTCTCATTTTTCTTGCAGTTGTGATGGCTACTTTATTGTGTTTTTTTAAAGTAAGGTCTTCCGACATGAGTACACCCAACTCCTTTACATTGCCTTTTCGTTCTATGTTATGATTTGACTGCGCTTTGTACGTGGTTTCCATTTTTATATTTTCATTTTTTCTGTAGCGCATGAGCTGGAACCTATCTTCATTAAACACCATATTATTTTCTGTAGCCCATAGAAAGACCTAATTTACATCTGATTGGAGGTTTGCCGTGTCCTCCATATTATCTACTCTCAAGAAAATCCTAGTGTCATCTGCAAAGGATGATACAGTACTATAGATTGTGTCCTTGTCTATATCTGATATGAGGATGAGAAAAAGTACTGAAGCAAGACAGTGCCCTGGGGGACTGAGCTCTTCACAGTTGATGAACCGGATTTTATTTTATTGACTATTACACACTGGGTTTTGTTAGTCAGGAAATTATAGATCCATTTGCCTATTTTTCCGGTAATTCCTTTTGAACGCATTTTATGTGCAATAACACCACAGTCACATTTGTCAAAGGCTTTTGCGAAATTTGTGTAAATTACATCAGCGTTTTGTTTGTCTTCCATGGCATCTAATGCCATGTCATAGTGGTCCAGCAACTGTGACAGGCAAGAGCGCCCAGTTCTGAAACCATGTTGTCCGGAGTTATGGAGATGCTGTGATGTTACTTCTTAGCACTCTCAAAGATTTTTATGATGTGCGATGTTAGTGCTATCGGTCTGTAATTTTTTGCCTCTGCTTTATTTCCTCCTTTATGGAGTGGTGCTATCTCTGCTGTTTTTAGTATGTCAGGGATAATGCCAGTATCTAGGCTTTGTCTCCAAAGAATGTGAAGGGCCTGTGATAGTGGTTTTTTACAGTTCTTGATGAATATGGAGTTCCAAGAATCAGGACTTGGTGCAGAGTGCATAGGCATACTGTTTATGGCTTCCTCAAAATCCAGTGGGGATAGGGTGATGTCTGATATATGATTTGATGTTGGGTATCCTATCCATGAAAAATTCATTTGGGTTATCAATCTTTAGTGAGTTTAGTGGCTCGCTGAAAACAGAGTCGTACTGTTTCCTCAGTATTTCGCTCATTTCTTTGTTGTTATCAGTGAAAGTTCCATCTCCCTTTTGCCGGGGCCCGATACTAAATGTGGTTTTTTATCTTGATTTTGCATAGGAGAAAAAATATTTAGGATTTCTCTCTCTTTCACTGATGGCCTTTTCCTCTCTTTGCCTCTCCTGGGTTTTATATGATTCTTGTAGCTTGAGTTCAATTGTTTCTATTTCTCTACCTAACCTTCTTCGCTGTTCTTGAGATAGGGTGCGACTCTCAAGTTGTTCCGCGATTTGTTTTCTTCGCCTATAGAGGCGAAGCTGCTGCTGGACCACTATGGCAAGTCATGACATTACTTGCCTCGGCGTTTTGCTGGGGCAGCAAAACCCCGCCTAGTAACACCATCGCTGCTTGTACTTGGTTCGTCAACACTACCTACATTGGAGCCTATGTCACTGAAGCCCGAGAATGATTAATCACATGTATTATCACTGAATAAACTCACATCAGAGGACACATATTGTGGTGGCGACTCTAGCGGTGTTGACCCAGGGCAGCGAGGCAGGTCAGGTGAGGCGCGTGTACTGTAGGGAGCCGGTCGGCCGAGCGGACAGCACGCTGGACTTGTCATCCTGTGGTCTTGGGTTCGATTCCAGGCGCCGGCGAGAAACAATGGGCAGAGTTTCTTTCACCCTATGCTCCTGTTACCTAGCAGTAAAAATAAGTACCTGGGTGTTAGTCAGCTGTCACAGGCTGCTTCCTGGGGGTGGAGGCCTGGTCGAGGACCAGGCCGCGGGAACGCTAAAAAAACCCCGAAATCATCTCAAGATAACCTCAAGATGTACACACTCGCGACCTCCTTCCACCTCATTCTCCCCATCACTTGTGCAACCCGTTCTCGCAAATTCGTAAAGTCAATACTGACTTATTAACTACGTGCATAGGTGATATACTAAACATAATAGATACCCTTAAAAAGCTTCATAGAAAACACCGACCTTACCTAACCTTGTTAGTATGTTAAGATAAGCATCTTATTGCTTCGTAATTACAATTATTACTTAACCTATACCTATAATAGTTTAAGTAACAATTGTAATTACGAAGCTATAAGATGCTTATCTTAAGATACTAACAAGGTTAGGTAAGGTCGGTGTTTTCTATGAAGCTTTTTAAGGGTATCTATTATGTTTAGTATGTCACCTATGCACTTATTAAATAAGTCAATATTGACTTTACGAATTTGCGAGAACGGGTTGACTTGTGTCAGGCCTCAGTGTTAGGTCTTTCTCTGGATTGTAGTCTAAATCATCATCCATCGTTCCATCATCATACAATATGTCGCGTATTTCGTCCTCAGAGAGTCGTTTTACTGGACCGCAGCCGACCGTGGACTGGGAGTTTGTAGACGATGCGCCAGACATGGTTGCTTCCTTTAAACCGAGGTTCCCCACGGCCCTGGGGCATGCTGGGATTTTTTTCAAAATGGTGGACAATCACTGGAGCCCTCAGGCATCCATTTCGTACCCGTGTCACCGCATGCCAGTTTTGAATAGTACGCTGTACCTAAAAGATCCCTGAGGCACGTTGCGCACCACCCGTCGAGCGCTTCAAGGCACGTTGCGCAGTGCAGTGGTTATTATAAGACCCTTAGAAGCATAAGGGTAATGAAAAGACCTGGATCTGCTTTACATTTGTCTGCTACCCATTTCTCAGAACTCCTCTTTGTCTCTCTTCTCACTGCTGTCTATTTGTTTCTTGGTTGTTTTTAGTGTTAATATGTTTGAGGGTTTGACCTCTTCCTGTATTGTATCCATTTTCCTGTCTTTTCCTCTTTGGCCCTCCTCTTAATTTATGTTGAACCAATCCTGTTTTCTGGTTCTGCATCTCTGTTTTCGGTATATATTTTTTTGTACTGTACCTTCATCGTATAGTTCACAGATTTTGGCATACATCTCATTTATTTCATTGCCTAGCAACAAGTCATTCCAATTAATTTCATTCAACAATTTGCTAAGCTTCCTGTAGTGTCCTCCCTCAAAATCAATTTGTCAACTATTTCAATTTGCCATTTTCTTCTAGATTATATCGCATAGCATATCTAATTTCCAACAAGATATGGTCACACTTTTCCAAGGAAGGAAGGTACTGAATGTCAAATAGCTTCTTCTTTCCTGGGAAATACCAAATCCAGCAATGATGGAGCATCTCCTCTCATTCGTATGGGCTGTTTTACATGTTGATACATGAAAGATTCCAGGATGAGGTTCATGAATCTGCTAGTCGAAAAATCTTATGTTCCTGCTTCATAGTCTTCCAAGTCTATCAATTTTAAATTGGTCACCAAGTATCAACAATCGTGATTTATCTTTATCTGCTTTTACAATAATTTATCCTATGAACAAATCCACAAGGGCCGTGACGAGAATTCGAACCTATGTCCGAGAACATCCCAGACGCTGCCTTAATCGACTGAACTACGACATGGTCAAAAGAATTGAAACCAGAAGTTCTACTGAACTTACTTGGATCCTGCAGCCTCTCCTTGACACAAACTAGGGTTTTATACAATTCCCCCATGCACTTGAGCTATGTCAATAGGCCGTTCTACCTATTCACCCTTACTTCATTACACACAGAAATCACAATAGCGTGATGCATCATGGGGGAATTGTGTAAAACCCTGGTTTGTCTCTCGGAGAGGCTGCAGGATCCAAGTAAGTTAAGTAGAACTTCTGGTTTCTATTCTTTTGACCATGTCGTAGCTCAGTCAATTAAGGCAGCGTCTGGGATGCTCTCGGACGTAGGTTCGAATCCTCATCACGGCCCTTGTGGATTTGTTCATTTGATGCATCACACTATTGTGATTTCTGTGTATAATGAAGTAAGGGCGAAGAGGTAGAACAGCCTATTGAAATTGCTCGAGTGCATAGGAGAATTGTGTAAAACCCTGGTTTGTGTCTTGGAGAGGCTGCAGGATCCAAGTAAGTTCAGTAGAACTTCTGGTTTCAATTCTTTTGACCATGTCGTAGCTCAGTCGATTAAGGCAGCTTCTGGGATGCTCCCGGATGTACTGTAGGTTCGAATCCTCGTTACGGCTCTTGTGGATTTGTTTATTTGATGCATCACACTATTGTGATTTCTGTGTGTAATTTATCCTATGATCACTATAAGGGCCTCTCCTTTGTCATTGGGCTCGTTCATAGTCCATGTATTGCTTGCTGGCGAACTCTATGCAGTAATGATTACTAGTTTATCATTCTGACTTCAAATCTCCAGTGCCACTAATGTCTACTTCCCCTGGGTTATCAAGTATCAGACAATACTTGGCTGAATACAGGCAGCAATCGGACAAGGGAAATCAGTCAGTGAGTCAGTCTCGAGGGTATGTGTGTGTGGGAAGTGGGGGAAGGAGAGGAGTGTTGCCAAATCACAAGCTACCATTAGGGATAAAGCTTGATAGAAGTTGTTTGTAAGAAGGGACACATGTATTTTTAATGTACATGAGAATGTACAAGGAGCAATGTACACCTGGTAGTGCTTGCTTATCAGTAATGCATAATATTTTATTATGAATTAAAGAAGCATGATAATTTATATTTTGAATTAATATCTAAAACACTTTACTATAGTAGTCTGCTTATATGATTGGCAGTGTTTGAATGTATGTATTATCACACCATTTTCTCCAAAATATTTAGCAGGAATTAAATAGTTTATATTTTATTAGTGTCTTGAGAGAAAGATTGTAACACAGTATTTTGTTTCAGATGGGCTACATCCCTCAGGAGCTTCAGTGTGATCACAAATCTTGTGGCTAAGGTGTATTTATGGATCATGACACAAATTGTATTTGCTACATTGCGTGGATCATTCTACATTACTGAACATGCCAGTTGCCGTAACCAGCTTTTGTATTATCGCAAGTGTGTGTGGCAGAAGCAACATGACTATGCATTGAGTGCCATGGTAAATAGTGGCTCACTTGAGAAGCTTAGCCAAGAAAAAGCAGTCACATACTCTCATTTGACTGCAAAAAAGGGATCAATTCCTCGAATCAGGTTTATACCTAAAATGCAAAATGCAAGACCCATTGTTCCACTTCGCAAAGGTGGAATGCCCCCATCGCTTTTATATCAGGCCCGTATTTTTTTGAATGAACTCAGTAAAGGTTGCAAGAAGGGAAGTTTCAAAGCAAAAAATGCCTATGAACTGCAAAATGCTTGGCATATGTATACTAAAAAATTAATGGCAACTAAATTTACTAAACCATTGTATTTTGTGCGTGCTGATGTACAAGATGCATATGGATCAATTTTACACTCCAAACTATTTGAGTTATTGAAAAATTGTGTTGATAATTTAGCTCCTAAACTAATGTTGGGACAATATGCATTAATGCTGGACACAGGCAAGGTATCAAAGAAAACTGTTTACATCCTTTTAGATGATAAGAGGCAACCTACTAGGTCACTTGTGAATGGAGAAGAGAGACTAGTAGAAATAGGTTCTCCTATTATTGTTCAGCCTCAAAAAATTTTTAATGCAATAAAAAATTTAGTAAGTAATCAAGTAATCACCAATGGGTCTCTGCTACTGCGAGTGGCTCGTGGAGTGCCTCAGGGAGGGACACTATCTGCTGCTCTTTGTGAATTTTATTATGCTTCCATGTGTGCCAATCATTTTTCAAAGTACAACATTGGGACCAATATGCTTCTCCGTGCTGTGGATGATTTTCTTTTCATATCTCAATCTCGTGATGAAGCAAAGAGAGTGTTGGAGCAGACAGTATGTGGTGTTCCCGATTTTAACTGTCACATGAATAGAGAGAAAACCTTCCACAATATTGATAACCAAATTGTATTCCGTGTACCATTTTGTGGTGTGATTGTTTGCTTGAAGTCTCTCCAACTTTTAGTACACGCTTCTGGTTTGGCAAATGGATACCCAAGGTATTCAATGCGTCTAAATAAATTTAAAGCCCCTGGAGACTTTGTGAAACTTAGGTTACAACAAGTAACCCTGGCACGTCTCAAACCTCTTGTATTGGATCCCTCATACACAAAATGCTCAGGGCTCATTGCTAATGTCTGGCGAAGTGGAATTATGGCTGGGGCAAGACTGATCACTTTGTTGCATTGTGTCCTGTCACCAAGAGGACCTGTTAATACTAAATTTGTTGCTTGCATGGTTATTAAGGTGGGATATAAAGTTTGTAGACAGGTTAAGTCAGTATTCAAACGAGGTAATGTTAATTTAACAATTCCCGATGAAGTAATTTTGATAACTTATGTCGGTGGAGTATGCACAATGATGAAATGGCCAAGTTTACCAAAGTGGCCTTCAATACACACAAATCTGAAGAAGTTCTTAAAGAGGATGCTGGTAAGAGTGCCAAGTAATATGCAGATGTTACTACCAACAATTCCCCAGACTACATAATTTTGATAATTTAAGCTAATTATTTTTACAGAATATATTTCCCTTATTAATCTCAATACCATTTTCTATATGCAGTTTAGAAGATGCGGTTCCCATGGAACTTTGTTGGGACTTTTTTTGGGCTCGTATAAACATTCAACTTGTTCACAGGCTGTTTATGCCACCTCATTTACTACTTTTTAAGTTAACTCTTTAATGAATGTCACACTAATGTAAAAGTCCGATTCTAAAACCTAATGTTGTTTGAAGAGATACTGTATATATATTTCAATAAAGTTTTTGTAACCTAAATTTTAGTCTTGTATATACAGTATTTTCCTTTGGCTTTTATTTCTTTCTGAAAAAATCGAACAGTGGTGCCCTAAGTTAGCACTAAGATAGCTCCACATACATAAGTCAGATCAGCCCTAGGAGTACTTAATAGCATACCAGAACCTGATCCACTCTGAGGCGCAGAAAGCATGAGATTACTACGCTTTTCCATAGATTTTCATGAAAGCAGACAATAACAAGGACACAGCAAATCTTCAATCTGGTACTAAGTATTTCAATGAGCCACAGAAAATATAATATTTCATGAGGATAAGTTCCATTCCTACAATGTGGATAACAGAAAACTTCAAAACAGAAACTACATATAAAATGCAGTAAAAAATGCACACACTTTAATGGCCATGCCCTGAGATCACCAGTCCATGCCTCCCATCGATCAGCACCAGCGTACAACTAGCTCAAAACACCTGCCTGCAGCCAGCGTTCGGAGAAATGTGTTCGAATGCCCTAGGCTTAAATAGTTCCTTGCTAAGCTATCTCTGCAAAGATAACATTCGTTTACTTAAAAACGGTAAAGCAAAATCAGCTGATTATCACTGGACCAACATCCAAGTAAATGAAACAGTACAAACTAATTACATGGTATCTAACACTAGGCCTCCACACAGGCTAGAGGTGATAGGCCTTTTCTAGTTCTGATTGCTGCCACATGTACACAAGACTGAGTGTAGCATGTTACACAAGACTACTAACTTAATTTACCCCTCACAGGTGAAAGGTATAAGTAACACAGCTTCCATAATGTTAATAAGTAATTAATCATCAAAGAAGGCACCAAGCCGGGAAGGCTATGTAGCACCATCAAATGTGCGGAATAATCAGAGGGCGCTAAATATCACTGAGGATGCTAATAAGAGAACAGAAACGCATAAGGCGAGCAATATCAAAAGTATCTGATTCACCAAGAATTCTATCGAGGAAATAGTGACTGCGGGGGACAGTCGGAAAGCAAGATACACACTCGTCCTGGAAGTCAGAACATTCAACAAGGATATGCACAATTGTAAGAGGGACAATGCAGTTAGGACAATAAGGGGCAGGGCGGCGCTCCATTAAGTGTCTGTGAGTCAAGTGCGTTAGGCTAATACGCAGCCTCACCAGAGCTGTTTCCCATCGCCGGTTACGGTGGTAGGAGGAAGACCACGTTGACACACTACCCTTAGGAGTACACAGTTTGTTACCAATAACAGAAGACCAACAACTCTGCCAACCGGCAAGGATGGAGGAATGAATAACTGGGTAAAAGTCGGAATAAGGAATACCTTTACGGGAGATAGGACAAGTGCGGATAGCTTCCTCAGCAGCAGCTAAGGAGTATGAAGGGCAACCATAATCGAGTTTAGACAATATGAGAGAAGAATGCAGAGAGGAGCGTGCGCCTATCCGCTCCCCAAGAAGTATGTGACAGAACCTGAAGTAGGTTAAGGACCTTACAGCATTCAACATGGAGGTAAGAGATATGGGGCAACCAAGACAAACAAGTGTCAAAGATTAACCCCAAAAGCTTCGCAGAATCTTTGTACAGAAGGGGGATGACCATAAAGCGATAAAGAAGGATGAAAGACGACATGCTTTCGAGTGAGTCATAGCACAAGTCTTAGTGGCAGAGAACTTGAAGCCATGATTGGTGGCCCAAGATGACACGGCATCAATCGCAAATTGAAGCCGCCGTTGAAGGAGAAGCGAATCATCACCTCGATAGCAAAGCGTAAGATCGTCGACATAAAGAGCATAGAAGATGCCAGAAGGGAGGGAGGAAAGAAGACCATTGAGGGCAACCAGAAAAAGAGTAGTGCTCAGAACACTACCTTGGGGTACACCTTCGTATTTATTTATTTATTTATTTAATTATATATATACAAAGAGGTACATTGGGTTTGTGAGAATACATTGGATAGTACAGCATTTACACTCTTGTAAAGCCACTAGTATGCGCAGCGTTTCGGGCAGGTCCTTAATCTAACAGATAATTTTAAGTAGGTAATTTCTATCAGAATTGATAAAAGACAAAGATACATTGCAAGAGAAAAATGAGATGAGAGAGCTTAGTAAGTATATTAAAGCACATTGTTATATTAAAGCTCTGATTGATTACATTGACAGCTTGATTAGTAATTTAAACAAGATTAATAGACACCATACAGCAGATTGACAGCAATGATCACAATGGTAAAGATGTTCAGATTGGGTACATAAAGATTGGGAGACTGGGTAGCAAAAGATACAGATAAACAAGATTTATAAACACCATACAGCAGATTGGCAGCACATATAAGAAGACAGCAATGATCACAATGGTAAAGATGTTCAAATTGGGAACATAAAGGTTGGGAGATTGGGTAGCAATAGATACAGTACAATTTTAAGGCAAAAAGTGAAAAAATGAAAAGTGAAATTGCCGAAAAGAGGCAGAGAGTGTGGTACCAAGCCTGTCTTGAAAGGAACGACGAGAGAGGAAGCTTTGGAGGAAAAGAGGGAGATTACCACGAAGGCCAAAAGACCTCTTTTGGAAAGGAAAAAGGAAGTCTCACAAGTCAAGCCTGGCCTCAGGCCGGGCTTGGGAGTAGAAGAACTCCCAGAATCCCATCAAGCAGGAACGAAGTTGGGACAGAATATGGTATCTCCAGGTTGTGTCATAAGCCTTTGCCAGGTAAAAAAGAACGGCAACAACGGAGGTCTTAGCACCAAAAGCAGTACGAATATAGACCTCCAAGTTCACCAGGACATCAGTTGTGCTGCGGCACTTGCGAAAACCAAATTGAGAAGGAGAGAGGTGGTAATGGTGTTCCAAGAACCACATCAGACGAACATTTACAATACATTCAAAGAGTTTGCAGACACAACTCGTGAGGGCAATAGGGCAAAAGTCTTTATGGGATGTCCTGAGAGACCACGGTTTCAGAATAGGAAGTACAACGGCATTGAGCCAGTTCTCTGGGACTGACGACGACTCCCAGACCTGGTTATACAGACCCAGTAAATACTGAGACGTGCAAGGACGGAGATGTGGAAGCATCTCATAATGAATGTCAACCGAGCCCACTGCTGTAGAACTGCAGAGGGCCAGGGCAGACTGAAGTTCAGAGAGAGAAGGGATCGTTATAGGGAAGGCGGAGATGAGTGTGGAAATCTAAGGGATGAGATTCAAGAACGGGCTTACGAAGAAGAGCTAACAGAAGAAAAGTGGGAACCCAGTTCAGGCGCGACCTGCACCGGGTCCGCCACCAGAGTATCACGTAGGTGAATAACCGGCAAGACATCTGGAACGAGTTTACCCGTAATCTTGCCGATCTTCTTCCAGGTCTGTGACAGAGGAGTATCGGACGTAATGATGGAAACATAAGATTTCCAACTCTCACTCTTAGCTGTACGGATAGGCCTACTTGCTTTCTGAAACAAAAAAAAAAGAATCAGTTGTCTGCTGGCGTAAGTGTTTCTTCCAGGCTGCACACTTACAGCAGACAGCCCGAGCACAGTCCGCATTCCACAAGGGAATGCACTTCCGCATGTCCCGGGATGTAGAGCGAGGAATAGAGCAGAGGTCTGCCTTGAAGACAGTGTCATGAAAAAGGAGGAGGGCACGAGGAAGAGGCAGAGAGGGGTAGCATGAAGGGTGAATAGGTTTCAGTCAGCTTTGGCAGACTGCCACCTAGGGAAGGAAAGGGAAGGGTGAAAAGAGAAAAAGGAAACAAGGATGGGGAAATGGTCACTGTTATGGAGGTCATCAAGAACCCGCCATGTGAGATCTAAGTAAAGGGACGATGAGCAGAGAGAAAGATCAAGACAGGAAAGGGTGCAAGTTCGAGAGTCCACATGGGTGGGCTGACCAGAATTCAGAAGAGATAGGGAAGAAGAGAGGACGAACGGTTCGAGAAGGCGGTCTCGGGTGTTTGTCAGAACATCACCCCAGAGGGTTCGAGAAGGCGGCCTCGGGCGTTTGTCAGAACGCCCGAGTTGTATGTCGACAGTTGAAATCACCCAAACAGGAGCACTGGCTCTAGCAAGGAGTCCAGGAGGTGTCCCGAGAGACCACAGTATCAGAATAGGAAGTACAGCAGCATTGAGCCAGTCCTCAGGGACTGACGACGACTCCCAGACCTGGTTATACAGACCCAGTAAATACTGAGACATGCAAGGACAAGCGGGACATTTGGGGGGAGATAAATTGAACAGACTGTATACCATTTACTCACAAAAACACGGGCAGCAGAACAATGGATAGGCAATGGAAATAGTAGGAGGACGAAGGGAATATCAGTACGAATCAAGAGAGCAGTAGAGTTATGGGCCCCCAGTAAGAGCTGGGCAGGGGGAGGGGAGAAAAAAGGAATAACCACGACAGTGACCAGGACGAGCACCACGCATCAGCTCCTGGAGACAAACACAAAGTGGTGAAAACTGTGTAATCAGAAGTTGGAGTTCATGAAAGTTAGCATAAAATCCACGAATATTCCATTGAAGAATATACATTATCAAAAAGATAAAAGACAGCAACAGAGAACAATGAAGAAACAAAGGTAAAGAAGAACACAGCATATTAAATAAACTCAGGATCAGGGTCAGCAAAATCAGGGTTAGGGGGCATGGGTAAACTTAGTAAGGATGGAGGAAAGGGAGCAGGAGGACAGACCAGAGGTAGACGGACAGTACTGGAAACACAAACTGTAACTGACCCTATTTTCTGCTTGTTACACTTGTAATAAAAGTTATTACATCTTGGCTTAACGTGTTTTTGACGTATTAGAACGTTGTTACAACTTGATATATTGGTTCTTATAACTTGTTAGGAGGTGTTAAATCTTGTTCGAACGTTGTAGCAGCGTCGTAGTTTCGCTGTGTGTTTGGCAGGAGGGTCCAGAGGAGGGGGAGATAACCGAGAGGGGGGCAGAACCCGGGGAGGGCTGCCTCGGGGAGGGCTGCCTCAGCAAGGGCAGTAACCGAGAGGGAATCGGGGGGGAGGGGGAGAAACCTCCATAGCTGGGACAGGGGGCCCGACCACCGAAATAGGAGGAGACGTAGCGATAGTCAGAATTGGGGGGCAGGGAAGAAAGGATACCTTTTTACCCGCTGGGGAGGATGAAGGAGAGGATCCAAGCTTACGTTTCTAACTCAAAAGAGACAATTGTATCAACAACAATGTACTGGGCGACAGACTCGATGGTCTCAGCAGGAGAAGAAGAACGGGAGCTGTTATGGAAAGTAATGTGATTAAACTG